CTGTTTGTATGGCAGGAAGAGAGCCCACTGCTTCAGAGGAGAGATGTCTGATGATAATGGCAGTGACGCTGATGATGGTGGTGATGGCAGTGATGGGTTAGAGCAGGTGGAAAGACCACGGCTGGGGGCTGCTGCTCTGTGTCCCTGAGCAAGTGACCCAACCCCTCTGGACCCTGTTCTCCATAAAACAACGGGTTGCATGTTCCAGTGAGCTCCTACATGCTGCCACTGGAGTCGTCCCGTTCCCACAGCTGGACAGCCTCTGCTTTTCAGGCGAGAGAGAGCCTTTGGGCGGAGGCATGGTGCTTCGGTGGGTCGGCCTGGCTGCTGGGGTCCTCTTCACCCTCGGACCCTCCAGGGTCTGCTGTGACCAACCCAACCCAACACCAGGCCTGCTTCTCCCTCCCCTGCAGGGGCTTGCAGCCTGTGGGAGACGGGGCAACACATCAGGAACACAACAGCAGGATGTGCTAAGTAGGAAGGGATGGGAGTCAGGAAGGGCTTCCTGGAAGAGGGGGCCTAGGAGCACCCAGTGCAAGGCCTCGTACTGGGTAGGTGCTCAGTAGATATCTACAGAGTGAGGTCCCAGGAAGGGAAGCCCATTGCTTCGGAGAGGAGAGGGTGTGATGGTGCTGGTGGCGAGTGATGATGGTGGAGACTGAGGATGGTGATGATGACAGTGATGGTGGTGACAGTGATGGTGAGGATGGTGATGATGACAGTGATAGTGGTGATGGTGATGGTGGTGGTTACAGTGATCATGATGGTGATGATGATGACAATGGTGATGATGAGGAGGAAGATAGTGACAATGGTGATGATGAGGATGGTGACGATGACAATGGTGACGATGATGGTGATGGTGACAATGATGGTGACAATGATGATGAGGATGTGACGATCATGAGGATGGTGACGATGATGACAATGATGGTGACGATGAGGATGAGGATGATGACAGCAGCTAACTTTTACTGAGCATTTAATTTGTGCTTAGTGCTACTTCTCTAAGTTTCACATGTGCCCACTCATTTAATCCTTATGAGTTTGTGGGGTATGTGCTATTATAGTCCCCATTTTACAGATGTACAACCTCAGTGCAAATTGAGGCACAAAGAGGTGAAGTCATTTGCCCAAGGTTTCACAGTTCGCCCGTGGCAGAGGCAGAATGAGAACCCTCCGTAGCCCCACTGACTGGCTGTCAGGGAGGGAGCTGGACAGCCCCTCAGGAGGCAGGGGTGGGCTGTGCAGATGGCATAGCATCTGTTTTCGGGTTTTCAGAGCTGGGGAGGGCGGGGAGGGGGGCTACTAGAGAGGCCTGGACACCATGGGGAAGGCTGGGATGAGGGTGATGGTCCCCGTCAGTGTCCAAGGGGCCTCCCTCCATCCCACCACTCTCCCGGCTGCCAGGGGGCTCTTTGCCCCTAGGAGGCCCTGTCTAGACTCCTGTCCTTCCCCATCAGCCCTTTCTCTCCCTTCAGTGTGAGCCCTTTCCCTCAGTGACTGGCATCCCGGCCCTGCCTCACCAGGAGTCTGCCCCTCTGAAAGCCCGTCTTCCCAGTGTAAACAGCAGGGCAGGCAGCCCCAGGCCAGACGCTTGGGTTCGGGCTCCCAAGCATGGCAGGCGGGGAGGGGTGCAGGGGGTCTTCAGACCTTCCCGGTCTATTCAGCCTCTCCCAGTTCTACTGAACCCCGCTAGTGACACCATGCCATATCCCCGAGCCCCCTCATGCCCAACCGGGCACACCCCTGGCCCTGCCAGCAGTGCTGTGGGCACAGAGCCCATCAGAATGAGGCGCTGCTGCCTGGAGGTCCTCCCACCGCCGGGCCCGGCCCGCCCTCCCCGCAAAGGAACGCAGGCCCGGAGAGCCCACTCGGTGCCCAGCGAACTGGTTCTCACTGCCCGCACGCTGCTTCTGGGAGAGCGGCCTCCCCTACGTGGAATGGGCAGGGGGAGGTCGCATCTGCCTGGAGGCATGGCTGGTGGGATGGACTCGGGTGCCCGAGCCTCTGCCGCGCCCTCCTGCCCTCACCAGGTGCTGCCAGCCCTCCCCTGGCACGCTGCTCCTCAGGCTCAGGTCACCTCTGAAGAGGCCACAGTGAGTGTCAGCCTGGTGGCCAGGCCCCGGCCCTGCTGCCCCCACACCTGCGGGGAGATGTGAGGAGAGGAGGTTGCAGCCTCTTGCCCCACCATGCCCTACCCAACCCCCAGACAGCAGCTGGGGGCACCCCTCTCTCCACCCTGCCTGTACCCGGCCCAAGCGCTCCCAACCGGCTTTTCCTGTTCCTGCTTTGTTGGTGAAAGTTCCCCACTGGGCCTCATTCTCAGCTGCTGGTGAGCCTGGCAGGCAGGGAGCACCACCCCTGTTCTCCTGGGAGGGCCCTGCACTTGCCTGCTGGCCACCTCGCCCGTCGCACGGGGTCTTGGGCTGTCCAGCCCACTGACCACACTGGGCTGGCTACAGTTCAAGGACTCAAACAGTTAGGGCCACTCAGGAAGAAGAAAGGGGCTCAGAGGGGTTCCCGGCCAATCTCAGGCAGTTCGAGATGGAGCCGATAGGACCCAGGCCTCCTCACCTCCTGTGGGTGCTGCTCTGTCACCAGGGCATCTGCAGGGACATGTTGGAACCCACAGACCGAGGGAGGACAGCGGGGGTGGGCTGTGGATAGCCCAGGTGGGCCTGTGGGCGTGCGTGCGGGGCAGAGCATGGCTGGGCCTGGTGTGGAGAGACCAGCGACCTTTAGTCGCAAGCATTTCCTGAGTCCCTGGGTGTGCCTATACCCTCGTAAGGGGGGAGGGGGCAGCCCGCTTCCCTGACCGTGGCCCGGGGTCTTCAGAGGGCTGTGCCCTGCTCCGGTGCCCACTGCAGAGGCAGCACGGCCCGCGGCCCTGCTGCGGAGCCCAGGCCCCTCTGGAGCCTCCAGGCCGTGCTGCCTCTGGCTCCGCGCGGGCCGGCGCTGCGGCGGCTCACGGGGCTCAGCAAGCTGGCCGAGGGAGGGGTGCAGGGACACGCTGCGCAGAGCTCGGCCGCCGCAAGTGAAGGCGGCTAAGCCAAGTTCAGGGCTGAGGCAGCACAAGCAGAAGCCATTCTCGATGGGATAGAACGGCTGGGGGAGGCCATGGGGTATTTATTGGGCCCCACTGATCGCTCCCTCCTTCCTGGATCACCACTCTCACTGCCTCCATCGTGACTTGTAAATAACAGTTTTTTTATTGATTGGCCTCGGAGACAGGAAGAGGAGAGAGATGTGTTCGTCCGTTGGTTGATTCTCGCTGTGCCGTGCCCAGGGGTGCCACGTGCACCCCGGCAGGTCGGGGTGACGCCAGCCAATGGCGCTCCCTGGCCGAGGCTGATCTGTGAATCTGTGAACAGTATGTGCCGAGCACCCGCTGTCGGCAGCGTGAGCAGCCACCGCACAGGCGGAGAGGAGCTGTCGTGGGTGTGGCTGGGTTCGCAGCTGGAGGGTCAGGGGCTTCCCAGAGGGGGCGGCCCAGTAGATTGGGGGGGGGGGGGGCTTCTTGGGAACTGCATGAGTAGGAGGCAGGAAGTGTTGCATCTGCTCCTTGGGGCTGGGACTGAATTGCTCATATGATTCAAGTGCTGACACGGGACTCAGCACCTAGGGGGTAGAGTAAACGGAGGAGGGGAGAAGCTCAAAACCAGGCAGGTTCGGAAGGCTGCGCCTGCTTCTGCCTGCCCCGCTGCGAGCCAGTGCACCCGGATACGGGGTGGAACTCAGGAGGAGAGAGCAGGAGCCACTGGGGTCCTATGTCCCCAGCGCTTCCTGCCTTCTCAGTTCCTCGTCCATCAGACCGTTGGGCTCTAGCAGCCCTGTATGGGGAGGCCGTGGGTTCCCGCGCATCTGCCAGAGGAGGGAAGCCAGGCAGAGTGAAGCGGCTGGTGGCACTCGGCTGAGCTGGCTGAGAGCAGTGTATTCCACCCTCAATGGAAACGGGAATGAGCTCTGGCTGGTGTGACCAAGTGGATAGAGCATTGGCCTGCAGGCTGAAGGGTCCCTGGTTCGATTCCTGTCAAGGGCATGTATGTTGGTTGCAGGCTCCTCCTGGCCCTGATCAGGGTTTGTGGAAAACAACCAATCAGTGTGTCTCTACATCAGTGCTTCTCTCTGTTCTCCCTCTCCTTTCCACTCTCTAAAGATCAATGGGAAAATGTCCTCGGGTGAGGATTAACCCATAAATTAACAAGTGAGGGTGTGGACAGGTACGTGCTGCCGAGGAGCGGTACTGACAGCAGCACCCGAGGAAGGCAGCATCGAGCAACAGGCAAAGTGTGGTCTTGATTTTGTGGGGAAAGTGAGTAGATGGCGGGAAGACAGTGGAAAGCGTCCCCACAAGGTGACCAGTGACGTTGCTGAGTGGTGGGGCCGGGGTTCTCACTTTTTTCTCAGTATTTCTCTCGTTTTTTTTTCTTTCTATATTTTTATTGATTTCAGAGAGGGAGAGAGAGAAACATCAATGACGAGAGAGAATCATGGATCAGCTGCCTCCTGCACGCCCCACACTGGGGGGATCGAGCCTGCAGCCCGGTGCATGCCTTTGATCAAAATTGAACCCGAGACCCTTCAGTCTGCAGGCCAATGCTCTATCCACTGAGCCACAGGGCTTGTCTCAGTATTTTTCAGTATCACCCAGTGCTTTTATAACAAGCATGTGTTCTGTGTGTGATCAGAATAAGGAGAATATGCCTGGCCGGCGTGGCTCAGTGGTTGAGTGTCGACCTATGAAGCAGGAGGTCATGGTTTGATGCCCGGCCAGGACACATGTCCAGGCTGCGGGCTCGATCCCCAGTGTGGGCGGCAGGAGGCAGCACTCAGTGTTCTCTCATCACTGATGTTTCTCCGTCTCCCTTCCTCCCTGAAACCAACACAAATGTGTTTTAAGAAAAGAATAAGGAGTGTGGCCGCCGGGAAAGGAGCCAGTGACGGGCGCCGGGTGGAGGGTGTGCCTGGCGCTGACCCCGCCGCCCCCTCTCGCCCAGGTGCCCGCGCCCAAATGGTGCAGGTGAACGACTCCATGTCCGGCTTCATCGGCACCGACGTGGTGCTGCACTGCAGCTTCGCCAACCCGCTGCCCGGCGTGAAGATCACCCAGGTCACCTGGCAGAAGGTGACCAATGGCTCCAAGCAGAACGTGGCCGTCTTCAACCCGGTCATGGGCGTCTCGAAGCTGCTCCCCTACCGTGAGCGCGTGCAGTTCCTGCGGCCCTCCTTCACCGACGGCACCATCCGCCTCTCCCGCCTGCAGCTGGACGACGAGGGTGTCTACATCTGCGAGTTCGCCACCTTCCCTGCAGGCAACCGCGAGAGCCAGCTCAACCTGACCGTGATGGGTGAGCGCGCCTCCGCCCGCGGCGCAGGGCTGGCCAGGCGAGGCCCCACGTGTCTCCTGGCGGCGAGCTCCCGGGCTCCGGGCCTGGCTGCCCACAGCTCCTAGGGGTTGGGCAGGGCCTCCGCTCTGGGCGGAGCTGAGGGCCAGTGTTCAGGCTGCAGCCTCACTGTGGGGCCCCTGGTGGGTGGCAGGAGGCGTGCGGAGCCTCAGATGCCCGGGAAGGAGAGGGCTGTGGAGCCATGGCCTGGGTCACGGCGCGCCGCCCAGAAGGCCTGGGCCTGCTCGAGGCGATGCAGATGGTGGAATGAGGTCGCCATGCAGAGTCCCGGGCGGAGTGCGGGGGCACAGCGGTGGGACAGCCACGGAGACCTGAGCGAGGCCAGGCAGGGGCATCCCCGCCCGAGCCCTCTGGCCGGGATGAGAGCCAGGCCCATGGCTGCCTCCGCTTCCCACAGCCAAACCCACCAACTGGATCGAGAGCAGCCAGGCCGTGCTTCGTGCCGAGAAGGGGCGTGACGAGAAAGTCCTGGTGGCCACCTGCACCTCGGCCAACGGGAAGCCGCCCGGCGTGCTGTCCTGGGAAACGCGGCTGAAGGGGGAGGCCGAGTACCAGGAGGTCCGGAACCCCAACGGCACGGTGACGGTCGTCAGCCGGTACCGCCTGGTGCCGGGCCGGGAGGCCCACCTGCAGCCCCTGGCCTGCATCGTCAACTACCACCTGGACCGCTTCCGGGAGAGCATCACCGTCCACGTGCAGTGTGAGCGGGCGGGGCGCCCTCCTTCCCAGGCCTGTCACCCTCCGGCCCCCTTCCTGCCCTCCCGCCTCCACCCTCCCCTCTCCCCTCTCCCTCTCCCTCCTCCTTTTCTCCTTCTGGGGTGGTTTGTCCCCCTCCTCTCTTCCCCATGGCCGCCCTCCCTCACCTTCCTCTCCTCCTCTCTTCCCCCTCGGGCCGGTCCCGTGTCATTGTCGATGCCGCCCCTTCGGTGTCTGGGCCCTGGCCTCACGTCTGCTCCTCTGACCTCGTCCTTTGGCCACAGACGAGCCTGAGGTGACCATCGAAGGGTTTGATGGGAATTGGCACCTGCAGCGGACGGACGTGAAGCTCACCTGCAGAGCCGACGCTAACCCCCCGGCCACCGAGTTCCGCTGGACCACGTGAGTGCCAGGACCTGAGGCGGGAGGACGTTCAGTCTAGGCTCGGGTTCTGGGTGAGAGCCGACGGCACGCTGCTCGGTGCTCCTCTCGGTGGCGCGGCGCTGTCAGTGTTGCTCCCTGGCAGCCAGCGCCTGTCCACACGCGGTCAGCGGCCAGGCCGGCCGGCAGAGGGACTCCCCTGTGACCTGCCCCTCTGCTGCTGCCGACGCTGCCCTTTTCCGCGGCTGACCGTCTGAGTCGCTGCCAGCCCAGCCCCCGCGTTCATTTCTGTCCCGAGTCCCCAGGAAAGCTGGCTGCCTGGAGCCTTCCCACCTTCCTCTCCCGTCCTTCTCCAGCGCCCGTTCTCAGGGAGGCACGAGGCCCGAGCGCCTGGGTTCGAGGGCTCGTCCACGTCCCGTTGTCGCTCTCCTGGCTTGGCGGGCGCAGGCCTGGCCCGCAGAGGCTCTGTCCCCTCCTGGAGAAGGGCTGTGGGGCACCGAGGCGGGGTAGGGCGGCCGAGGAGGAGCCGGGCACGGTGGGCAGAGACGGCTGTCTAGATTACATCAACAACTATTTTTTTAAATACATTTACTTTTTTTTTTTTATAATATATTTTTATTTATTATTATTGCCGAGACTGGTTTGGCTCAATGGATAGAGCATCAGCCTGCGGACTGAAAGGTCCCGGGTTCGATTCCAGTCAAGGGCATGTACCTTGTTTGCAGGCACATTCCCAGTGGCGGGTGTGCAGGAGGCAGCTGATCAACGTTTCTAACTCTATTTCTCTCCCTTTCTCTCTGTAAAAAAATCAATAAAATACATTTTAAAAAAATGTGTGTATATATATATATATATATATATACACACACACACACACACACACACACACACACATTTTTATTGATTTCAATGAGGAAGGGAGGAGAGGGAGAGAGAAACATCAGTGCTGAGAGGGAATAATGGACCGGCTGCCTCCTGCAGACCCCCCACTGGGGATCGAGCCCACCAGCTGGGCATGTGCTCTGACCGGGAATCGAACCAGAATCCTTCAGTCCACAGCCTCATGCTCTATCCACTGACCCACACCAGCCAGGGCTCCACACTCTTCCAGGAGGGAGCGGGCACCGGCCCCTGCCGTCACCCTCCACCCCTGGAACCGGAAGTGCTTCCGAAGGTGTGAGTGGGGCCTGCTCGCCAGTTCCATTCCGTGGGCCGCAGCTGTGGAATCCCACAGGGTAATTGCTCTGTGGCCTTGGGGAGCAGAGGAAGGAAGGTCCCTATGTTCCAGAAACGTCCGGGCCTGTGACATGCCCAGTAAGAACACAAGCGAGGGAAATGGAACAATTCCTAAGCCTGAGGCACGTCTCCTTACCCAAGTAACTTGTTAAAATACAAATGGCCAGCCCCCCAGTGTGGCTCAGAGGTTGAGCATCAACCTAGGAACCAGGAGGTCACAGTTCGATTCCTGGTCAGGACACATGCCCGGGTTGCAGGCTCCATCCCAGTGTGGGGCATACAGGAGGCAGCCGATCCATTGATATTTCTCTCTCTCCCCCTCTCCCTTCCTCTCTGAAATCAATAAAAAGATGTATTTTTATAAATACAGATCCCAGGTCATGGCCCCGGGGGTCAAGCTTCAGTGGAGCTGGGTGAGAGCCCAGATGTGTGTTAACCAACTCCACAGAAACCAGGTCAACAATCAGGAACCACGAGTCTTAGAAAGCGCCAGGCAGGCGATCAGAGAGCTGGCTCAAGCTCCAGTCCTGCGCTTACCCTCGGGCCCTCGCCGTCCAGTGGGACTCACACCCTGGTGGCGTCCGCATTGCGGTGCGGTGACAGTCAGTCAGGGCTGGGCACAGGGAGCTGCCGCCGCATGCCTCCTTCCAGCCAGACCCCCGCTCCCCGTGGGAAGGCGGCGGAGGTCCTGACCAGCCATGTCTCCACCGCAGGCTGAACGGCTCTCTGCCCCGGGGCGTGGAGCCCCAGAACAGAACCCTCCTCTTCAGGGGGCCCATCGACTACAGCCTGACGGGGACCTACGTCTGTGAGGCCACCAACCCCATCGGCACCCGCTCGGGCCAAGTGGAGGTCAACATCACAGGTGCCTCCCTGCCCCGCCCCACCCCACGCTCCTCCTCTGCCTCCGGTCGCTCTGTCCCCGGAAGCTTGTGCTCCTCTGCCTGCATCTGCCTTCCCCGGGTGCGGGCCTTTCTCCTCCTCCGTTGACGGCTGTGAGACAGTCGGGAGGCCCGAGCAGTGAGTGTCCACTGGGGTCTGCCAGCAGCAGCCCCGGGGAGGCCGGCGGGGGGGGGGCTGTGATGGAGCTAATCTCCAAGCTCTGCTCTGGGTTCAGGGAGGACCGCCCGCCTGGAGGGGGGGCCCACTCTGCGGATCCTGGAGGGAGAGCGAGGAGCCGCCCGCCCGGAGCCTGGGTGGCGGGCCCTGCACTGAGCGGACGCTCTCCCTGCGTTTCTGTCACTGCCGACGAGGCGGTCGCCTCCAGACCTTTCGGGGCAAAGGGAGGACGTGGGCTGGGAGGCTCGGCCACCTCACAGGGATGAGGAGCGAGGCTTCCTGTCAGGAGGGCGGGACCTGTGAAATGGGGCAGATGCGAGGTGCCGGGAAGCGTCAGAAGTACCGAAGGCAGGCCACCCTCCATGCCTGTGAGCAGCCGCCCTCCGTGGTCTTCACGGGAACGATGGAAAAGGGCCGCAGCGGGAGTGCCCTCAGCCTGGCCGGTGGCGCAGGACGTGTCCAGCTGGTGCCTCGGCCGCTGCGGGAAGCGAGCGCGCAGTGACATCGCGGTGTGTCTCGGACAGTGTGTGGGCGGGGGGCGGGCCAGGGCCGGGCTGGGCCGGCCGAGCACCCGGAGCTCCGAGCCTGTGAGGCGGGGCGGCCTGGTGCATGGGCCCAGCTGCAGGAAGAGCAGCTCTGGCTGCACTAAGCCCGCCTCGACCTGGGGCCAGGCCGTCTCAGCCTCGGGGTGCAGGGAGCCACCTGCTCTTCTCTTCACTCCCTGCCATTGGCCTCCAGGCTGCTTTGGGAGGGCACACCCCTCCAGGCCAGGGTTCAGGGCTCCCATTTTTATTGATTCCCTTCGCGGGGCAAGTGAGCAGAGCTGGGCGCTGGCCTGGGCGCTGGGGCAGCAAAGGTGAGGGGTCGTGATGAGGGAGCCTGACCGCCTGGCGAGAGGCGGCCGTACGGGGGTGCAGACTCGCTGAACTAGTCCTTCGCCTCCGAGCCTCAGTTTGCTTGGCTTTATATGGAGACCTCGGGCTTCTGAGGGTCACGCCAATCGGCACTCACTTCCCCGGCGGCCCCCTCCCTCGGGGCTCCAGGGAACCACAGGTTCCAAGGCCCGGGAGGAGCCCCCGAGGCCCAGTGGCTTCCTCCGGCGGCCCGGGCCAGCGCTGGGCCAGCCTCCTCCCGGGCCTCGCTTTGCCCGTGCCCGGAGGATGCCCAGCGCCCAGGAGCGCTCGCTGCGCGTCCGGAAGCCACACCTCCCGGGAGGGAGGCCGATGGGCTCCCGGGCCTGGGGACAGAGCAGAGGGAAGGAGGGAGGGAGGGAGGCAGCATGGAGGCGGCCGTCTCCTGAGTCAGCCTCTGGGCAGGTGGGCGGGCCGGGCCCTGGAGATCGCGGGGCAGGGTGGCAACTGAGACACCGGGAGGTGCGCTGCAGAGGGACCCTGTTTGCAGCTGGTCAGGCCGGAGCCCGGAGCTGACACTTCCTGACCCAGAGGGGTCGTGAGCCGCCGAGGGAGAGGCGGTCTCAGCCGGCACCACGCCCTTGCCCGGCTGAGTGTGCTTGTGCTCACGGCAATTTATTTTTTTATTTTAATATTTTTATTGATTCCAGAGGAGGGGGGGGATAGGGAGAGGGAGAGGGAGAAACATCATGATGAGAGAGAATCATGATCAGCTGCTTCTTGCACGCCCCCTACTGGGGATGGAGCCCACAACCCGGGCATGTGCCCTGTCCGGGAATCGAACCATGACCTCCTGGTTCATAGTCAACATTCAGCCACTGAGCCACGCCAGCCGGGCTCAAGGCAGTCTCTAATCAGCAGCCCCCAGTCTTCACCTGCCCCAGCTGGCTCCTGTCATCCCCCGGGCCACTGAGGCGCAGCCTGTCCTGGCCCAAGCCTGGCCGGCCTGCAGGGGCGTGTGCGGAGATGGGCAGGTGGGGCTCGCATTCCGTTCTCCGGCTGCTCAGGAGCAGCGGCCGGTGCCTGTGCAGAGGGATGGAGAGCAGTGGGGCCAGGGTGGACAGAAGGCTGCAGGGCATGTGCACAACACGTGTGTGCAGGCACGCGTGTCCCTGGCCACTGCACCACACACACACACGCTTTGGCATAGGATTCCCTAGGTCTCGGGTCCCAGAAGAGGTGGTATTTGAGTTGTTCCTACGAGGATGAGTGCACGGGCGGAGATGGGGGGTTCCCTGAGGGGAGTGTGTGGGAGGAAACAGAGGAGGGACTTTCTCTCTGGTCGAGGGGAGCCTGTGGGTTCCCTGAGGCAGTGGCAGGGCCATGGATGCGTGGGGCGCAGTGAGGGCGGGTGAGGCCTTTCTCGGGGACCCAGGGCCTGCACTGGGGCTGCGGGGTGAGAGCAGAGGAGATAACCTCCCCGGGGTCTCGCCCTTCTCCCCGTGGGGTGATGCCGGGTGGGAGGGGCGCTCAGGGATGTTCCTATCAACCTAGAGGCCAAATTTGGCCCCCGGGCTGGGGGTTCAGGCCAGTTCCAGGCAGGGAGGCCCCGGAGTGCAGGGGGTCGGCCCTCTTCCATGAAGGTGACCGGGTGTGCCCCAGGGGCAAGGTGCTCTTCAGACCCAGGCTGCTGCAGCCGTCCTGAGTGGGGGCTGGTCCTGAGTGGGAGCTGGTCCTGAGTGGGGGCTGGTCCTGAGTGAGGGTGCCCCGGGGTCCTGAGTGGGGGCTGGGCCTGAGTGGGGGCTGGGCCTGAGTGGGGGCGCCCTTGGGTGAGGAGATGTGCCAGCAGCGGTGAGCAGCTGCGTGCTGAGCGTGTAAACGGGCCGCTGGGCTGGGGCTGGTGCTGTCCTCAGGCGGTGGCAGTGGGGGGGCCTGCGCCTCGGAGGACCGGTGCCTTGGACTCGATGAGGCCCGTTTGCGGTCTGACGGATGCTCAGCTGCCTCAGCTGCAGAGGAGGGAAGAGCTCCCCACAGTCTGAGCCCGGCCTTCCCACTGGCCACGGCCCGCACACTGCCTGCTGGGAGGGTAGTTCTCAGTGTCCTGGCCTAATCTGGCGCCCCAGCACTTCCTGCCTGACTGTTGGTTTGGGAAGCAAGTCCAAACATTCCTGTTGACCACAAGCCTCCTCCAGATCCTAGATTCAGACTGCAAACCCCAACCCTTCCCTCTACTCAGACCATCCGACACCGCACAACAGTCCCCAGCTCCATCCGCGAGCCGGTCCGCAGGAATCAGCCCCGCTCCAGAGGGGAAGCTGCAGCCAGTCAGGAGTCGGGGCCCCTTTGTGAGAGGATGTGAGGGCTCAGCTGGATCCCACGGCCCCCTCTCCCCCACCCCCGCCAGCAAGCACAGCAACCGCTCAGCCCTCCCCCGCAGCGATGGAGGCTGTGTGTGCTGCGCACAGACGGCCTGCGGGACAGCTGGAGGGCCAGAGTGGGCGGTGGTTCTTCCCCCCAAGCCTGAGGGGCTGGAGCCATAGCCATTCTCTGACAGGCCTGCGCCGGACACAGCCAACGCAGCCAGGGTCCCCGGTCCACAAAGCTCCTGGGGCCCTGGCCGGTTTGGCTCAGTGGATAGAGTAACAGCCTTCAGACCTGAGGGTCTCTGGTTTGATTCCAGTCAAGGGCATGTACCTCGGTTGCGGCTCCTCCCCAGCCCTAGGTCAGGGTGTCTGTGGGAGGCGACCAATCGATGTGTCTCTCTCCCTCTCCCACTCTCTCTAAAAATCGTCTCCTAGAGTGCAGAGCTGGGGAATCTGAGCCTGCCCGTGTGACCATTGGCACATGCTTGCTGACCGGTGGTTGGGCGGGCGGATAGACGGAAGGATGAGTGGATGGGTGATGGGGAGCAGGTGAACAGAAGAGAGCATCCAGCCTGGGTGGGAACTGGAAGGGCCACAGGCAGGAGGCCACGGGCCGGGGGAGGGCAGGGGTGGGGGGAGGTCAGGGGGCGGGGGAGGCCGGGGGCGGGGGAGGCCGGGGGCGGGGGGGGGGGGGGCACGGGCAGGTGCAAGTTCCAGAAGAGGCCGCTGCAGGTGTGAGACCGGAGACCCTTGAGGCTCCAGAGGGGCTGCTCTGGACGAGGGCAGTGAGACAAAGACTCGGTAAAGGATCACTGGGCAGCCAGGCTGGCCTGGCTCAGGGGTTGAATATTGGTCTCTGAACCAAGAGGTCAGGGTTCGACTCGGTCAGGGCACAGGCCTGGGTTGCAGGCTCGGTCCCCGGGTTGGTGCGTGCAGGAGGCAGCCAATCCATGATTCCCTCTCATCATTGATGTTTCTCTCTCCCTCTCCCTTCTCCTCTGAAATCAGTTTCCAAAGAACAAAGCTAGACTTATAGGCGCCTGCAGAGGGCACATGGGGACAGGAGCTCTGCCCACCACCTGGAGGCATGGGGGCCCCACCTCCACTGTGACTGGGAAAGATCCCCGCCGCCTCCCCGTCCCCGCCCCCGTCCCCATCCCCGTCCCCATCCCCGTCCCTGTCCCCGTCCCCGGTCCCGGTCCCCGTCCCTGTCCCGTCCCCACCCCCGCCCCGTCCCCACCCCCGTCCCCGTCCCCGGGGCGCCCTTCCAGCCTGAGCCCTTGGAAGGACTCTTCCACCCTGGAATCTGCCTGGTCCCCCTGCTGCCCACCAGGCTGCACCGAGGGCAGACACCCCTCCCCCGCAGGCCACCCTCCACCCTCAGAAAGGACGGTGGCTCCAGGGCCTCAGCCTCCAGGGCCCCTGACCTGCCCCTGACCTGCCCCTGCGCCTCCGGCCCCGGCTGGCCATGGTCTCCGGTGCCACCCTGTGGCGGTGCTGGGAACTGCCACTCCGGCCTCTGGCCTGGCCCCACTGGCCAAGAGAGTCACCTGCCAGCCTCTTCCTTGCTCCTCTTTCTGCCTTTCCTGCAGTCCCAGCGTGACCGTGTCTACACAGATTCACCAATTAGCAGGGCACATGGCTCGCCATGGCATAGGGCGTGTGCCCAGGTGACCTGCCTCCCAGTCACCTTCAGTACCAAGTCCGCGCACATCCTGGCTGAGCGCCGATGCTCGGGGCCAGGCTGGCAGCACCTCTCCCCCCACCCTGCCCCGCTGTGCCCTGCAGGCCAGACGCAGGCAGAGCCACGGCCTGGCTTCTGGCACTGGCTGGGCACCTGTGGGCCCGCCCCGGGGGCCAGCAGCTTCCTGTGCTCTGGGAGCAGTGAAGTCAGGGCCCTGGGACGCGGTGTGGGCAGGGCAGCGGGGACGTTGGCACGGACTGGCATGCAAGAGCCCCCGCTGCGTCAGGGCCAGTGTCTGCGGCAGGCCCTGAGCCGGGCTCCCCGGTGCCCTGGGCAGTAACCGCAGCCTGCTCCATGACTGTGGGCACGGGGCCGGGCTGGGCCGAGCCACAGCCAAGGAGGTGGGCACAGGGCTGTCCCCGGCCTCGGGCTCTCCCTGGCCCACTCCCCCACCCTCCCCCGCCACCGAGCCGACACTGACCGCCGTCTCTCTTCCTCCCCAGAATTTCCCTACACCCCGTCCCCTCCGGACCACGGGCGGCGGGCTGGGCCGGTGCCCACGGCCGTCATCGGGGGCGTGGCGGGGAGCGTGGTGCTGGTGCTGCTGGTGGTCGGGGCCGCCGTGCTGGCCCTGCGCCGGCGCCGCCACACCTTCAAGGGCGACTACAGCACCAAGAAGCACGTGTACGGCAACGGCTACAGCAAGGCGGGCGTCCCGCAGCACCACCCGCCGCTGGGCCAGAGCCTGCAGTACCCCGACGACTCGGACGACGAGAAGAAGGCCGGCCCGCTGGGGGGCAGCAGCTACGAGGAGGAGGAGGAGGAGGAGGGCGGCGGGGGGCGCGCGTGCAAGGTGGGGGGCGCGCACCCCAAATACGACGAGGACGCCAAGCGGCCCTACTTCGCGGTGGACGAGGCCCAGGCCTGTCAGGACGGCTACGGGGACCGGACCCTGGGCTACCAGTACGACCCCGAGCAGCTGGACCTGGCCGAGAACATGGTCTCTCAGAACGACGGGTCTTTCATTTCCAAGAAGGAGTGGTACGTGTAGGCCCGGCCTGTCTGCGCCCCTCCACCCGCACGCCCCCCGGACCCCCGGACTCACGCTGCCCGGCCGGGCAGAGCCCTGGTTTGGCCCCGTCCCGCCTCCCCACTGTCCTCTGTGGCGTTGATGTGGCTGCGCCCCTGTCCCTGGCCGTGCCCCTCGCTGTGTGCAGCCGGCCTGGTCTCGTCTCTGCACCTGGCACCCAGCCTCCAGGGCCCGGAGCCCCCTCCCCACCCAGCACTGGAATGCCTCTCCACTGGGAGGGGCCCAAGGGCCTCCCGAGGAAAAGCCCCCCCATCTGCTCCCCTTCCCCGTGCGAGTGGGCGCCGCCGTGCACCTGAGGGGCGCCGGGCGCCGAGGGTGGGGAACAGACGAGGCCCGGGGCCGTGGGTGCGCTGGTGCATCTTCCTCGTCCTGCACGGCCACCCCGTCTGTCCCACAGGGGCCACCCCGCTCACTGCCACAGACAAGGACTCCCACGCCACTGTCTGCTTCCGCACCCCGGGCACACGCCTCCCCCGGGTGGGCCCGGCCCACGGCTGCCCCCTTCCTCCCCTCCCCCACAGCGGGCAGCGGGGGTGAGGCCCGTGCTTCTCCGGGATGGCGGGCTGGCCCAAACCGCTCCGTACCGCACAAAGCTCGGGTCTCTCACCTCAAGTTCTAGCCGAGGGTACTCCTGGGTCAGGGTTGGGGTCCCGATGCGGAGGGGGCCCGGCATGGGGAGGGGGCCGTGCGGGGGAGCTCAGACTGAAGGGTGTGGGTGCGCCTCGCCCACTGAGGCCAGGGTGGAGGGGGAGCTGGATACTGCTCCTGCTGCCCGCTCCTGCTCAGCGGCCCCTGAGCGGCAGTTCCCGTGCATAGCCTGAGCTCCTGTCAGCCACCCAGTCCGTCTCCACGGAGGAGCAAGGCCCGCCCGCCCTTGTCCCTTCCTCAAAGTGCCTCAGGTCCTCCCTCTGCCCATCGCTGCCCGCCCTGCCCCTGGCTCCGGGTGGGAGACCCTGGGTGGGGCGGCGGGGTCACACCTGCCCCCTGGATCCTGGTGAAGGAGCCGGGTGTGACCCTAGGGGACGGCAAGTGTTGGGAGGAGGGCGGATGGCTGCCCAGGCTCCGCTTGCCCTCCCTCAGGCCTCCCCAGGGAGCCCCTCCTATTTCTCCCGCTCTGGTGCTGCTCTGGGCCCTGGCCCCCACCCCTCCAGCCATCCAGTAGCCACGTAGCAGAGACCTGAAGCCATGGCGGCCCTGGGCCACCTCCCCTGGGCTGGGTGCTGGCTGGAAGGCAGTCGGGGGAATTCTGGGCTCTTTCCAGCCACAGAGAAGAGGAGGGGAGGAGGGAGGGATTAGCCCCCAGGGGAGGGCCTTCTCCGTGTGACATCACTGTCCCTCCACCCAGGCATTCTCTGTGCCCTTGAACCCCTAGACTGAAAGGATTCCTCTGCCGATGCTCCCACTGCCACCCGTTTCTCACTTGATGATGGACTTTGGAGGCCCTGGGCCCACCAAAGCTCTGAGGCCCCGGGCCCTCCACGCCCTCCCCAAGCAAAGCACAAACCGTGGCTCCTGTGCCTCCCCGGGAGCCGCGGCCTTCCCCTGGAGAGCCGCAGCCGAAGGCACGCCTGGGAGGCGGGTTTTCTGTGCCGAGTCCGCAGGGCGCTGGGCACGCCGCGGGGCCCGGGGAGCCGAGGCCCAGCAGGAGGGGAGGGGCATGTGACACCAGCACCACTGAGCCCTGGCCCCCCTGGCTGGAGACGAGGTGAACTTGGAATTGGGGGGCCCGAGACCTCCCGCTGCCATCCTGCCCTGGCCCAGCCGGCCTCCCTGTACCCTGTTTTCTCAGAGTTTGGTATTATAACGTGGGACAGAGCCACGGGCGGGCGCGCACACCCCTGGCGGCACAGGCACCAGAGGAATGGGCAGAGGCTCCGGGGAGCACCGGGCCTGTACCCTCTGCCCGCCCCTCCCTGTGCCCAGGTCACGTGCCATCTTCCTCCTGGCACCCGCCAAGCAGAGGAAGCAGGGATGGTTGAGGGGGCCTCCTCGTGAGCAGCCCAGGGTGGGGGCGCCTGGGCCTGGCGCACGGCCTGGGGCCTGCCCTCCGCTCTGGCCGCCGCAGGCGGGCGCCGGCGGCCTCCCCGAGCGAGGCACAAGCTTTGCCTCCGCTTCTCGTCCGTTTTCATCTTCGGTCCAGGGCGCCCATGGCCTCCTGGTTCCGACGGGGGTGTGGCCTCGCCCCCTTTTACTTGTATTAAAAATTCATGGGTTGAAAGACGTACTTTTTATAATAAAGTGTTTGAAACAACGCTGGCTGGCTCGTGTCCCTCCCCGCCCCTGGGGTAGTGGTGCCCATCCTTCCTGGCAGGGGCCCCCACACCCAGGCCCAGGGAACGCCAACCTGCCATCCGGCAAGAGCCCCGCGGGAGCCCGGCCGGTGCGGCTCCGCGGTTGAGCAGGAGGCATGGTTTGATTCAGGGCAGGGCACAGGCCCGGGTTTGGGCTTGATTGCCAGGCGGGCGTGCAGGAGGCAGCCGGTCCGTGATTCTCTCTCTCCCTCCCTCTCTGAGATCCATGGAGATACGTATGTATTTTAAGAGACCCCAAGGGAGGGCGTGAGGGCCCAGCCTAAGTGCGCCTGCCGCTCCCGCGCTCGCTGCCATCTGCCACAGGAGAAGGCGGCGGCATCCAGCGGCCAGTGGGTGGCACGGACCCTTAGGGTGCGGGTCCAGAGGGGTGGAGGGGCTGGAGCCCTGGCTGACCCCGCCCACTGGCCTGCTTCCTGCTGCCACCCCCACCCCCACCCCGGCTCTGGAGGGGCAGCGTCACGGGTGCGCCAGCTCCCTCCGACAGGTGCGAGGCGGGAGCTGCTTTATGGAGGGCGCTGCCAGGCCCTGCGTCCAGCTCTGGGGACCCAGCTGCCTGAGGGGCTGCGGCAGGGACGTGCTTGCGGCTCCTCGCTCCTGCCATCTGCTTCCCATCTCAGCGGATGGAATGCAGGACCAATTGGGCAGCGTGGGAGCGCGGGCCTCTGGCTCCCCTCCCACCCCCAGCGCTTCCCCCTGAAATGCACCCTCTGAGCAAAGGGGCGGGGCCACGGGCTGCCCACCGCCTCCTGCTGCCCGCAAGGCGCTGTTTGCACGGGGCTGGACCGGACACACTGGGGGGCGCCCGGCGCGGAGACTGGCGATGAGCGGCAGCTGGCGGCAGCTGGCGGCCTCGCCGAAGGCCGTCCGTCCGGGCTGTAGATGCTGATGCCCGAAGGAGGTGAGGACGGCTGGGGAGGGGCCCCTCCTCCGTCCGTTAAGTGCATGTTAGTTTGCGGTGTGATGGCGTGATTAATAGGTTGGAAGAGGCAGTGGACAGACGTCCTAATTGGTTTTAACTAGCGCGTTCTGGCGGCGGCAGGAGGACAGGCCAGTCAGTCCGGCACAGCCTCTGGGCGGGAGGGCCAGGCCGGCCGCTCCCCAGGACCTCAGGACCCCGAGCCCGGGCACAGGAGCCGCTGGCTGAGCCACGTTCTGCGTTGAGGCTCCTTCCCCAGGCCGCAGCCCTTGTCTCCAGCCCCCACCCGACCCTCAACAGAGCAGAGGGCCACACGCTGCCTGCCCGCCTGCACTCCATCTGCGCTGGGGGCCCGGGACTGAGCCTGTCACAGCTTCTCCGTGGAGACCTCAGGGCTCCTCTCCGGTCCTCACCTGGGCCTCCGGCAGCAGGGGGGCGGGGGGATGAGCTTGACGAATGGTGAGGCCAGTTATTCACTTGTGCAGGCATCCATTCATCCATTTATTCATCCATCCATCCATCCATTTGGGGCCCTGGGCCCTGTTTAAAGACAGATCTTCCAGGATCTCAGATTCCAAAGCAGCAGGGTTTGCTGTGCTCGGCGGGCTGAGGCAGGGCTGCGTGCTGGGCGCTGCTGGCGCACACGTCTGTCTGGGAAGATCTGAGGTTTACGGCTGAGGTGACATTTCCCCTGGGCCTTGAAGGATGTACAGAGCTGTGTTAAGAGGATTCTAGGCCAAATGAGAATTTAGCATCTTATATTAGTTGTAAAAGAGATCATTTGAGGGGGCCAAGTAGAGGGTACCCCCAACAATGTACACACACTTAAGTGATTATAAAGTCAGTGTTTATTAACATACAGTTCATTTTTAAAAGCTAAAAGAACATACAGAAATGAATACTTTTTTGTCAATGAGTTTCAAACTGATGACTGTTGTGGTCCGGGCACTGCTGACCCGTGAAGCGATGGAACTGCAAACATCAGGAACCGTTTTGTTCGGCGCTTGTGCGCCTCGGTGCGCCCCCTGCTGCTGGTGTGGGGCGTCAGCTTTATATCCCCCCACAGCTCCTGGGCGAACGTTCTTTGTTCAAAGCTCGGCCTGGCCTCACCTATTATTTCAGACAGTTACACCTGAAAGGAGTAAGAAGTGAGTTATCAGGGTGTCTCCCAAAAACATACGTACACACTTTGAATAGTTACAGAGGCAGTGTCCGTACTGAGCTGCATTTTCAAACTTCCGTAGCACGTTAGGATGAACTTCCTTTGTTCAGAGCTTAGCCCGGCTGAGGGGAAGAAGTGCCGGCTGAGCTGGCGGGCTTCTGGGCACCTGTGTTTGGTGAGAGGCGATCTGGCTGGTGCTGAGCACACCATGCAGTGCAGGTCACGGATCAAAGACATGGTGTGGCTCAGTGGATAGAACGTAAGCTACAGGCTGAAGGGCCCTGGGTTCGATTCCAGTCAAGAGCGTGTGCCTCAGTTTCAGGCAGGCTTGATCCCCGGCTCTGGTAGGGGTGCATGCAGGAGGCAGCCAGCCAATGTGTCTCTCTCACCCATGTTCCTCTCCCTCCTCACCTCTCTACTCTCTCTGAAAATTGATGGAAAAATAGACTCGGATGAGGATTAACAAAAAAGCAACAACAACATATATACATATATATATATGTGTGTGTGTGTATATATATATATATATATATATACACACACATTTAAAAAATCCCAGTTGCTCCAGCTG